GTCGTGTATCAGTGTGTTAGTAAGACGCTAGCTTCACGTCGTGTATCAGTGTGTTAGTAAGACTCTAGCGTCACGTCGTGTATCAGTGTGTTAGTAAGACACTAGCTTCACGTCGTGTATCAGTGTGTTAGTAAGACACTAGCTTCACGTCGTGTATCAGTGTGTTAGTAAGACGCTAGCTTCATGTCGTGTATCAGTGTGTTAGTAAGACGCTAGCTTCACGTCGTGTATCAGTGTGTTAGTAAGACACTAGCTTCATGTCGTGTATCAGTGTGTTAGTAAGACGCTAGCTTCATGTCGTGTATCAGTGTGTTAGTAAGACGCTAGCTTCACGTCGTGTATCAGTGTGTTAGTAAGACGCTAGCTTCACGTCGTGTATCAGTGTGTTAGTAAGACGCTAGCTTCACGTCGTGTATCAGTGTGTTAGTAAGACTCTAGCTTCACGTCGTGTATCAGTGTGTTAGTTAGACACTAGCTTCAGGTCATGTATCAGTGTGTTAGTAAGACGCTAGCTTCATGTCGTGTATCAGTGTGTTAGTAAGACGCTAGCTTCACGTCGTGTATCAGTGTGTTAGTAAGACGCTAGCTTCACGTCGTGTATCAGTGTGTTAGTAAGACGCTAGCTTCATGTCGTGTATCAGTGTGTTAGTAAGACACTAGCTTCACGTCGTGTATCAGTGTGTTAGTAAGACGCTAGCTTCATGTCGTGTATCAGTGTGTTAGTAAGACGCTAGCTTCACGTCGTGTATCAGTGTGTTAGTAAGACACTAGCTTCATGTCGTGTATCAGTGTGTTAGTAAGACACTAGCTTCACGTCGTGTATCAGTGTGTTAGTAAGACACTAGCTTCACGTCATGTATCAGTGTGTTAGTAAGACACTAGCTTCCCGTCGTGTATCAGTGTGTTAGTAAGACGCTAGCTTCACGTTGTGTATCAGTGTGTTAGTAAGACACTAGCTTCATGTCGTGTATCAGTGTGTTAGTAAGACGCTAGCTTCACGTCGTGTATCAGTGTGTTAGTAAGACACTAGCTTCACGTCGTGTATCAGTGTGTTAGTAAGACGCTAGCTTCACGTCGTATATCAGTGTGTTAGTAAGACACTAGCTTCACGCTGTGTATCAGTGTGTTAGTAAGACACTAGCTTCATCTCGTGTATCAGTGTGTTAGTAAAACACTAGCTTCACGTCGTGTATCAGTGTGTTAGTAAGACTCTAGCGTCACGTCGTGTATCAGTGTGTTAGTAAGACACTAGCTTCACGCTGTGTATCAGTGTGTTAGTAAGACACTAGCTTCATCTCGTGTATCAGTGTGTTAGTAAGACACTAGCTTCACGCTGTGTATCAGTGTGTTAGTAAGACACTAGCTTCATCTCGTGTATCAGTGTGTTAGTAAGACGCTAGCTTCACGTCGTGTATCAGTGTGTTAGTAAGACTCTAGCGTCACGTCGTGTATCAGTGTGTTAGTAAGACACTAGCTTCACGCTGTGTATCAGTGTGTTAGTAAGACACTAGCTTCATCTCGTGTATCAGTGTGTTATTAAAACACTAGCTTCACGTCGTGTATCAGTGTGTTAGTAAGACGCTAGCGTCACGTCGTGTATCAGTGTGTTAGTAAGACGCTAGCTTCACGTCGTGTATCAGTGTGTTAGTAAGACACTAGCTTCACGTCGTGTATCAGTGTGTTAGTAAGACACTAGCTTCACGTCGTGTATCAGTGTGTTAGTAAGACACTAGCTTCATGTCGTGTATCAGTGTGTTAGTAAGACGCTAGCTTCACGTCGTGTATCAGTGTGTTAGTAAGACACTAGCTTCATGTCGTGTATCAGTGTGTTAGTAAGACGCTAGCTTCATGTCGTGTATCAGTGTGTTAGTAAGACGCTAGCTTCACGTCGTGTATCAGTGTGTTAGTAAGACGCTAGCTTCACGTCGTGTATCAGTGTGTTAGTAAGACTCTAGCTTCACGTCGTGTATCAGTGTGTTAGTTAGACACTAGCTTCAGGTCATGTATCAGTGTGTTAGTAAGACGCTAGCTTCATGTCGTGTATCAGTGTGTTAGTAAGACGCTAGCTTCACGTCGTGTATCAGTGTGTTAGTAAGACGCTAGCTTCACGTCGTGTATCAGTGTGTTAGTAAGACGCTAGCTTCATGTCGTGTATCAGTGTGTTAGTAAGACACTAGCTTCACGTCGTGTATCAGTGTGTTAGTAAGACGCTAGCTTCATGTCGTGTATCAGTGTGTTAGTAAGACGCTAGCTTCACGTCGTGTATCAGTGTGTTAGTAAGACACTAGCTTCATGTCGTGTATCAGTGTGTTAGTAAGACACTAGCTTCACGTCGTGTATCAGTGTGTTAGTAAGACACTAGCTTCACGTCATGTATCAGTGTGTTAGTAAGACACTAGCTTCCCGTCGTGTATCAGTGTGTTAGTAAGACGCTAGCTTCACGTTGTGTATCAGTGTGTTAGTAAGACACTAGCTTCACATTCGTGTATCAGTGTGTTAGTAAGACGCTAGCTTCACGTCGTGTATCAGTGTGTTAGTAAGACACTAGCTTCACGTCGTGTATCAGTGTGTTAGTAAGACACTAGCTTCATGTCGTGTATCAGTGTGTTAGTAAGACGCTAGCTTCACGTCGTGTATCAGTGTGTTAGTAAGACACTAGCTTCACGTCGTGTATCAGTGTGTTAGTAAGACGCTAGCTTCACGTCGTATATCAGTGTGTTAGTAAGACACTAGCTTCACGCTGTGTATCAGTGTGTTAGTAAGACACTAGCTTCATCTCGTGTATCAGTGTGTTAGTAAAACACTAGCTTCACGTCGTGTATCAGTGTGTTAGTAAGACTCTAGCGTCACGTCGTGTATCAGTGTGTTAGTAAGACACTAGCTTCACGCTGTGTATCAGTGTGTTAGTAAGACACTAGCTTCATCTCGTGTATCAGTGTGTTAGTAAGACACTAGCTTCACGCTGTGTATCAGTGTGTTAGTAAGACACTAGCTTCATCTCGTGTATCAGTGTGTTAGTAAGACGCTAGCTTCACGTCGTGTATCAGTGTGTTAGTAAGACTCTAGCGTCACGTCGTGTATCAGTTTGTTAGTAAGACACTAGCTTCACGCTGTGTATCAGTGTGTTAGTAAGACACTAGCTTCATCTCGTGTATCAGTGTGTTATTAAAACACTAGCTTCACGTCGTGTATCAGTGTGTTAGTAAGACGCTAGCGTCACGTCGTGTATCAGTGTGTTAGTAAGACGCTAGCTTCACGTCGTGTATCAGTGTGTTAGTAAGACACTAGCTTCACGTCGTGTATCAGTGTGTTAGTAAGACACTAGCTTCACGTCGTGTATCAGTGTGTTAGTAAGACACTAGCTTCATGTCGTGTATCAGTGTGTTAGTAAGACGCTAGCTTCACGTCGTGTATCAGTGTGTTAGTAAGACACTAGCTTCATGTCGTGTATCAGTGTGTTAGTAAGACGCTAGCTTCATGTCGTGTATCAGTGTGTTAGTAAGACGCTAGCTTCACGTCGTGTATCAGTGTGTTAGTAAGACGCTAGCTTCACGTCGTGTATCAGTGTGTTAGTAAGACGCTAGCTTCACGTCGTGTATCAGTGTGTTAGTAAGACTCTAGCTTCACGTCGTGTATCAGTGTGTTAGTTAGACACTAGCTTCAGGTCATGTATCAGTGTGTTAGTAAGACGCTAGCTTCATGTCGTGTATCAGTGTGTTAGTAAGACGCTAGCTTCACGTCGTGTATCAGTGTGTTAGTAAGACGCTAGCTTCACGTCGTGTATCAGTGTGTTAGTAAGACGCTAGCTTCATGTCGTGTATCAGTGTGTTAGTAAGACACTAGCTTCACGTCGTGTATCAGTGTGTTAGTAAGACGCTAGCTTCATGTCGTGTATCAGTGTGTTAGTAAGACGCTAGCTTCACGTCGTGTATCAGTGTGTTAGTAAGACACTAGCTTCATGTCGTGTATCAGTGTGTTAGTAAGACACTAGCTTCACGTCGTGTATCAGTGTGTTAGTAAGACACTAGCTTCACGTCGTGTATCAGTGTGTTAGTAAGACACTAGCTTCACGTCGTGTATCAGTGTGTTAGTAAGACACTAGCTTCATGTCGTGTATCAGTGTGTTAGTAAGACGCTAGCTTCATGTCGTGTATCAGTGTGTTAGTAAGATGCTAGCTTCATGTCGTGTATCAGTGTGTTAGTAAGACACTAGCTTCACGTCGTGTATCAGTCTGTTAGTAAGACGCTAGCTTCACGTCGTGTATCAGTGTGTTAGTAAGACACTAGCTTCACGTCGTGTATCAGTGTGTTAGTAAGACACTAGCTTCATGTCGTGTATCAGTGTGTTAGTAAGACACTAGCTTCATGTCGTGTATCAGTGTGTTAGTAAGACGCTAGCTTCACGTCGTGTATCGGTGTGTTAGTAAGGCCGTGCGAGTGGAGTGCAGCGGACGGGCCCTGGGGTAGCCCACTGCAGCCCTCTACTGACCCGCCAATTCTTTTATGTTTCCCCGTTGCAACATGCGTCTGGGTTGTCACCGTGCGTCCGGGCGTCTGTCACGCATCGGAGATGCTTGCTTTTTTTCCCGCATTGGCCGTTTGTGCGAAGGCAAGCATCCCACACTGTCTGCCACGGTTTGTGCGAACGTGATCCGTGGTTTGCCGAGTCGGGGTGTGTGTGTGTGACCGAGGAGCGTTCGCGTAGCGCTATGAACCCGGCCACCCGAGTTCGCTTGCCGCTCGTGGACAACACCGGCGTGACCCGTTAACTGAACCGCTCCTGGGCCTCCCCGATGTCGACTCGGCCTCGAATGAGTACCTGGTGCGTGGCGTGCAGCAAGCGTCGCCACGTGGAGAGACAAAGACGGCCGGGCGTGGTTGCCGGCCACCCACCCAATATTCTGTTAAGGCTACACGTGGGGGGGGGTGGGAGGGGGGGGGTTTCTTCGTCTTGTTTTGTTAACCTCAACGCTCGTGCGTGCGTGCGGTGTCTCCCGCAGGGAACCTGGAGACGTTCAAGAAGGAGTCGTTTGTGCTGAAGGAAGGAGCCGAGTACAAGATCAAGATTAATTTCAAGGTGAGACCACGGGTTTGGGCGGTGGTGGACGGGTGGGGTATGGGGTATGGGGGGGCAAGGCGGGGGGAGGTGGATAAACCCTCGCGATCGGATGTTGGCAACGTGCCGCCGTGCGACGATACGCCACAACCGGCACGGCCATGGGCACCGTGTGCCTCGCGGTACCGGTGCGTGTTCGGCGATGTTTTCCCGCGGAGGGGAAAGGCCAGCGAGTGCGAGAGGTGCGTGCGGGCGTCTGCGTGTGGCCGTGGTAGCGGTTCGCGCTTCGCTGCGCTGCGAACCCGGCGGCCCGAGTTCGATTCCGTTCTCGCCGCCAACGCCGGTGACGATTATCTGAACCGGTCCCGGGCCTCCCCTAGGTCGACTCGGCCTCAGATGAGTTCCTGGTGCGGTGGTGTCCACATCGCCACTAGGGAGACAAAGGCGGCCGGGCGTGGTGCTGGCCACCCCCTCGTGTGCCGTGCCGGCCTTGATGGGTGCCACTCGCTTAACAGCGCTTGCCCCAACAGTCTGTTGAGGCCATGGGGGGATTGGGGGCGGGAATCTTTGTCTTGAGTGTGACGATGTGTAATCTTAGGCCGTTGTCAGCCATCTCCATTCAAAAGCTTGGCACCCCGGGTCTGTCCTGTGACCTCCGCCATCCTCGCAAACTACACACACGCAAAGACTGAGTTCCCCCCGTGCAGGGGTAACAGACCTTCGGGGCGAGTGCTGTTAGCGAGCAGCACCTTTGAAGGCCGACACGGTGCACACGAGGGGGTGGGTGGCCAGCACGACGCACGGCCGCCTTTGTCCCCCCCAGTGGTGACGTTTACACACCACACCAGGAATTCATTTGAGGCCAAGTCGACCTAGGGGGAGGCCCAGGCATCGGTTCGGACAACCGTCACTGGTGTTGGCCGTGAGCGGGAATCGAAGCCGGGTAGGCCGACACGGTGCACCGAGAGGTTGTTGATGTGTTCACATTGCCACGAGGCACTCATTTAAGACTCGAGTCGACCTAAGGGTGGCCCAGGACTGGTTCAGATATTCACCGCTGTCATTGACGGCGAGCGAGAATCGAATTCGGGTCGCCAGGGTTGGTAGCGCAGCGCGCTAACCGCGACACCGCCGCTCCCCGCGCACGCACCCACGCAGGAAATGCAGCAGCAACAACAGCCCGACCATCGTTCGCTCAAAAACACACGCACGTGTACGCGTGCGTTCGCTCTTCCCGTCAGCAGCACCCGCGATTCCGGTAACGGGGACGCAGTTAAGAGCGCAGGACTTGGACCCTTATAAGCGCACGTGGAGCGGCGATAAAATAATAAAAGTGGCTCGTACAGCAATCAAGGGTCTCGCCCGGCGGCCGTAAATATAAAAAAAGTAAACATTCTCTTGGCCATTAGCCTCCTCGGGCCTTGGGGGACAAATATTTTCCCGGCAGCGTTTTGTTCGTTTTGTTTGAAGCGGTCAAACTCCGGGGGGGGGGGGGGGGGTGGGGCCGGTTTTTGACTTGGACGAGTCTCATCGGCGGGCGTGGAGGAGGAGGGCCTCGGCAACGAAAATATCGCCGCAGCGACGATACCACGTGCAGTGACAATGACGCAAGTACCTTCGGTACCACGAGCAGCGACGGTTCCGTGAGCGGCGGTGGGTACCGCAGGTACCTTCGGTACCACTAGCAGCGACAGTTCCGTGAGCGGCGGTGGATACCGCAGGTACCTTCGATTCCGCTAGCAGCGACGGTTCCGTGAGCGGCGGTGGGTACCGCGGGTACCTTCGATTCCGCTAGCAGCGGCGGTTCCGCGGCAGCCTCGTGGCGGAGCGGTCCCTCCCGTTAGAGAATTGTCTTCCCGCGCGTCTCCTTTGCAGGTGAACCGTGAGATCGTGTCCGGCCTCAAGTACATCCAGCAGACGTACAGGAAAGGCGTCAAGGGTGAGTCTGCGTGCTCATCATCCCTCCCTACCTCCCTCCCTCCCTCCCTCCGCACGGTGGGAGGTAAAATAAGTCCCGCTTGGTCGGGAAGTCAACAAACTGCGCCCGCCCCACCTCCCGCCATAGGAATGTAGAATTTCCACCACAGCGCCAATGCTCTCCCAAGCACTTATTTGAGCGGCAGGAGATCCGCTTTAAATACAACAGCCACTACAACAACAACAACAACCGCCACTACAACAGCAGCAACCGCTACTACAACAACTGCTGCAACAACAACCGCCACGACAATAACAACATGCAACTTCTACAACAACAATAACAACCGGCCACAAGGAGTCGGCACTCGAGTAAAAATAGCTGACAGTCCTTAGGGTCTCGTTTGAATGGGAAGTCCGAGACTTTGAAACGTTTACAGTAATTGGCTGCTATAAATGCCCACGCGATAAGCCACTTTCGTTGTGCAAACATCATTTGTGGCCAGGTCGCCTCTTAAAAAGAGCTGTTATAGCTCAGTGGGCCTTATCTGGTTTTCTTGAGTTTCGTTTGTTGCCACTTTTCCCGGCACCTACAATTGGCACGGTTGGCTAACGTATGGTGCGAAAGAAGTTCAACGAATGTGCACACAGTGCGGAAAAAGCGGTGACCCTCGTTGGAGTGAGAACTCCACGCTCGCCAGGCACGGTGTCTTCGAGCACCTGGGCCTGGATCCCAGGGTTGTTATCGCCCTGCTCTGCTCGGTTTTCTCTGACTTGAGAATTTGTCCCGGACCGCTGGAATCTCGCCGTCATCTTCATCATCGCCACCGTCGTCATCGTCGTCATCATCGTCATCTTCTTTGGTTCTTTCGGTAAAGTCACGTAGAATGAGAATAAAATAATAAAATAACACAATGAAATTCTCACGACGTTTCGGCCACAACGCAAGCGGCCGTCTTCAGGTGAAAGGTACAGAACTGTCGGGACGACAGAGCTTCATTGAAGAGAGCTTCATTGAAGCTTTGTCGTCCCGACAGTTCTGAGCTTCATTGAAGACAGAGCTTCATTGAAGCTTTGTCGTCCCGACAGTTCTGTACCTTTCACCTGAAGACGGCCGCTTGCATTGTGGCCGTAACGTCGTGAGAATTTTATTGTGTTATTTTATTATTTTATTCTCATTCTACGTGACTTTACCGAAAGAACCAAAGAAGATGAATCCTTGCAGTCACGAAAGCTTCAAATCGAAAAATCATCGTCATCATCGTCGTCGTCGTCATCTGTTAGCGACGAACGGGGCGTCACGAATTGCTGCTGCCGCCGTTGTTTTTACGCGCCTCGTGAAATAAAAAAAAATAGTATCTGGTAAATCTGGTTATTGTGCCCCCCTCCCCCCCCCGTCAACCCCCCCCCCCCCCATACCCCCCCCCCCCCCCCTCCTCCTTGGCACCCCACAGTGGACAAGACGCACTACATGGTGGGCAGCTATGGTCCGCGCGGCGAGGAGTACGACTTCACGACCCCGCTGGAGGAAGCGCCCAAGGGCTTGCTTGCCCGCGGCACCTACAACGTCAAGTCCCAGTTCACCGACGACGACCAGCACGACCACCTCTCCTGGGACTGGAACATCACCATCAAGAAGGAGTGGAAGGACTGAGCGGCGGCGGCGGCGGCGGCGTTGTCGGGAGGGAGGGGAGGAGGAGGAGTAGAGGGGAGATGGTGGGGGAGGGCAGGGGAGGGAAGGAGGAGTAGGAGAGATGGGGGTGAGGAGAGAGGAGGGAGGAAGGAGGAGGGGCGAGATAGGGAAGGGGGGTGTTCCCGGCAGGGCTTAATTTCAACCGGTATCTTCTTGCGCATCACGGAAAAAAAACGACTCGCATGTGTGCGTGCCGACGCTGTCGCTTTGCACATCTTTTGTGTGCGGCTCTTGACGCGACGCACGTTACCCACACGCACGGCGCGCGCATGAGCGAGCGAGCGGTGACGGCGATTGTCAGAGGTCGTGGTTCACGCGGAATTTTAGCACCAAGCGGAAATTCTATTTTAAAAACAAAACTCATTTCAACTCGGTTCCTCGTTTCTGATAATCACCGGCAGCGATGTCACCACCACCACCACCGCCGGGTGTAGTGGCCTGCGAACGGTGACGCCACGGCCCTTTGCGCTCGCGATCCGCCAATTTCCCGTGTCGTGCCGCCTTGTAAAACCGCCTTGTAGCCGCGCGCCGCCATCGGCCGTGCAGATGACGAACGAGCGATGGTTTTATCGGCTCGACCCTCTCGGGCCGATGATCCCGTCGGGTCTTTCGTTTTCCTCTCGGATGACGCGCCGTGACGATTTTCTAATTTGGATGTTCGTCATTTCTTTTTCCGTTTTGCGAAACTCGTCGGGCCTGAGAACGCCGCGTTGACCAGGCACGCGGTGTCCGCAAGCAGCTGGGCTTGGATGCCAGGGTTCTCAGCGTCCTCATCTGCTCGGTGTCTCCGACTCGAGAATCGATCTCGGACCCCCGTAATCCCACCGCCGTCACCGTAAGTCAGCTCGTTAGCGACGAACGGGGGGGGGGGGGGGCCTTGGGAATTCTTGCCGGTTTTTTGTTGTTGTTTTTGCACGTCGCAAACAAATGGCGTCGTGGAGACGCCCCTCACGCGGACATCACACTCGGGTAGCCGTCACCGGAGAATTTAACTTTGTAGTTTGGGTCGGTGACCCAGATAATATTTCCGCGCCCGGTACACTGCGTCCAGTACTTTTCTCCTCGCTGCTGCCGTGGCTTTTACACCGCTAGCCGCCAACGCGTGCCCAACTCTGGCGCATGCCAACAACACGGAAACTAAAAAAAAACATTTCATTTTGAGAAATTAAACCCTGCTTTGTTACTGCATGGTCAGCGCGCGGGGGGGGGGTGGGGGGGAGAGTGTGCTTCACATGGCGCGTGCGCGTGCGTGTGCGTGCACGCGCACACGCCATGCGAAGCACACTCACGTGGTTTGGAGTCCGCGGCTCTTAATTGTTTCCACGGTCCGGACGCCTCGCTCTTGACGAACGATTCAAATCATCGCTGCTGTCGCTCGCTCTCGATATTTTGCATTCTGAAAAGCATTCCAGCAAACCCCGTAGCCTTATAATTTGTCGACGACGACGATGTGTCTAACCGTTACCACTGGGGTTTTGTTTTTTGTTTAAATATCCATTCCTCTATCTGCTTTGCGTTTGCTCGTTTCTTATTTGCGTTATCGTCGATGTGTGTGTCTGTTTGTGTTTTGAACCTTTAAGGTCCCGTCGGTTAACAACGAGTTCTAACTGCCACTGACGACTGCTAACTCGTCAGACTTAAATGGGCTATCGACTCACAGGGCCAGCACCCACGTGGTCTGGGAAAAGGGGGCAGGGAGAGGGGCACCCCCCCCCTCCCCCATTGTCTCGATGACCACGCCTCCAAACTCAAAGCACCAATAGCAGCCTCCCCCCCCCCCATTGTCCCTCTAGCCATGCCCCCTCAAACTCAAAGCACCAATAGCAATCCTCCCATTGTGTCGCCTCTCCCCATTGGCCAAACGCCTGCTCCCAGTAAGCGAACGAGCTGCACCCCCCTCCACGGTGGCGAGACGTTCACCACCTCACGTGGTCTACAGGAGGACGCGGGTTCGATCCAAACCCTTGACGCCTGCTGCTGTATATTTGGAGTTTGCCTGTTCTCCCTCTCGCCCGCTGTGATCGCGGGGATTTTTTTCTCTCCGGGGTCCTCCACGTTTAGAATCAACGTCGTGCATTTCGGGTGTTTTGGCCGTCTGTACATTTCCACGTGATGATGTAAGCCACTTCGTTGAATTATCATTTGTGATAGCCAGGCCGCTTCTTTAAAAAAAAAGCTATACAGCTCAGCGGGGCCTTACCTGGTAAAGTAAAATTAAAAAAAGTAGTTTAGTTTTAGATCCGAGTGTCCCATTCACTTTAGCAGGGGTACAGGCGCAGCCCTACAATAGCTTGGCTCACCCCACTGTTGGTGGAAGGGCCGCCTTATAGATTAATCGGGGTTTAAGTGGCTTCCATTGTCGCTTACGTTGAAACCTCGATTGCGTTGTGGGTTTCGTTCTCGAGTCACTTTCAATAATCGCCACGGATAATCGACGCCAAATGGCTGAGCCACTGCTGGGCGAAATGCGGTGCTGTTCGATTCACGTGTGGACTATTGATGTGGCATTGATGACAAATTGTGCATCCACCATTCCCGTGTGATGATGTAAGCTCGAGGCCAAGTCTGCTTGGTGCTCTTTAATGTTTGCTTTAATTAACTCTCAAAGAAATGCGTTGATGACGTAACTAATGAGAATGCAACACATTCGTCAACAACAAACAACCACCGCCTTTAAAAGTAACAAGTTCACGATTTGCCTAATTGTATTCGGTCCTTTTACGGCCACTGTTGTTGACAAATGTTTTGGAATTTGTTGTTAACTTTGCTTGGGGGCCATCGAAGCCAAATTCCATCACGATCACGGACGGGGAAGTGGACCGTGATAGTACAATAAATGGGAACCGCACGTGACTCGTTTCGTTTGACCGGCGGTGGGATTCTGCCTCGTCAGGCTACGAGGCATGCAGCAGACAGCCCCCCAGAAAGGGCTGACTGTCTGTCGCAGGGAGAACAACAACAACAACAAAATCGGTCGCTTTGCACAACCAACACGAGAAGTGAAACCGAACCGCAAATCTTACTGCAGTCGCCGGATCACAAGACGCGCTCCGGATGTTAATTGCCTCGCCTGGCACACGCGAGGTTTGTGGGTTCTGTCATGGCCCTGACGCCTGCTGCATAAGTTGCGTGGGGGGGTTTGCGTGTCTCTCTCTGTCTGTCTTACGCCGTGGTCGCGTGGATGTTTCTCTGGGCTCTCCGGGTTTCCCCACCCCACCACATTTATGATCGACATCACGCCTCCATCATTAGACCTCCTTTGCCAGTACCAAAATGTAATAATATGGTTTTTCCCCTTTTTTTGGCAACAAAACTGAAACCTTTTTACGAGGATTCATGTCCGCATTAACCACAATACCTGCAGTCAAAATGCAAAAAGCATACTATGATAATATATGCATTGTCCTTTAAACTGATCGTACGCCTTTTGCCGTAATCTGGTCGAGCACCAATTGGGTCGAGGCTCAAAAGAAAGCCGTCCTTTGGTGTGGACCAATCAGTTTCAAGGACATTGCATATATGATCATAGTATGTTTTTTTGTTTGCATTTTGACTGCAGGTATTGTGGTTAATGCAGACATGAATCCTTGTAAAAAGGTTTCAGTTTTGTTGCCAGAAAAAAGGGGAAAACCCCTATTATTACATCACGCCTTTTAGTGTATTTGGGCACTGCTATAAATTCCCAAGTGATAATAAGCCACTACGTTGAGCTATCATTTGTGGTAGCCAGGTCGCTTCTGAAACAGCCCATGTCGCTCAGCGGGCCTGAACTGGTAAAATAATAATAATATAAATAGTTTAGTTTTAACAATTTAGTAAGACGCACCTACTTCACACCGCGCCCCACCAACCCCTCTCAACAACAACAACATCATGCCTTGCTTGTGCCCGGGTTCCAACAAAGTTACACGTCTTGTCTCGCGCGCACCCCACCGGGATTATCACACGGCACCGCGCACGCCGCAACTTGTGCTGGAAATCCAGCGGGTGGCGAAAGTGCGTCGATGCATAATCCGCAGAATGAATAGAGCCAGCGGTCTTTCAAACGAAAACATATCTCCCGATCCGGAGATCGTTTCCATCCGCTAACCCCAGTGGTTCTTTACGAATGTTCACATTGGGGGGTTGGTGGTGGTGGAGAGGGGGCGACTTCTTTCGCCGGTAGAACATCAATCGGTGTGAGGAGGGCCGCGACACCATTTGAAAACCATTTGTTGGGGTTTGACAGCAGCGCGATGATGATTGGGGGGGGGGGGGGGGTTATCACAGGACGTGTCTTGTCGGGGTAGCCCGCACTAAAGGCAGCCAGGGGGGCGCCAGTGGCCACGTGGGCCTTGCAATGAAGAACGCCGCTCTGACCCCCTCTGTGACCACCGCTCTCAGCACCCCCCCCCCCCACCACCTTCCTCTCCCAGCTCACCCCCATGCGTGCTCCATCCTCGTGCGCCCCACTCTACAACATGCGTCACTGCCTACACCACACCGCCTCCTCCTCAGCCCTCACCCCCAAATCGTTCTCGGCTGCGTCCAAGTGACAACAGCAGTGGAGGACCCCCCCCTGCCCCCCCTTGCCCCCCCTTGCCCCCCCTGCCCCCTCCCCTGCCCCCCCTTGCCCCCCCCTGCCCCTCCGCCCGCCCCTCCGCCCCCTACCCATCGTCGTGTGTGGATGTCCGCGTTGTGGTTGCTGGTCGTGGTGGTGGTGGTTGATGACACGTCGCTTGCTCGTTCGTGATTTCGTTTCGGGTGCAGAACCAGGAGGAGGGGTTGGGGGAGATGATGTGAGATCAGTGGGGGGGGGGGGGGGGTGTTGTTGGGGGTGTTGGTTCATGAGAGATGTTTGGGGGGGGGGGTCCACTTCCCTCACCCCCCGCCGCCTCCTGGTTGATGTCCTCCTCCTGTGATCATCTTCTTGGTCTCCCTACTTCCTCGTGCTGCCCGGTGCGTCGTTACCGCGCTGAAGGATGCCAATAAAGAACCGGAGTTGGGTCCATCCGTGCCCTCACGACCGCCTGCACTCTCCTCCTCCTTTGCCCCCCCCCATCCCCCTCGGTTCCGACTCGATTCAAAGTGAGCGGCAGGTCGCCGAGCGCGGGCTGCAAATAAATCAAATGGCCCAAAGCTCCCTTAACGGCCAGCAACAAGCAGCACTAATTGTGGGCGCCGCTGTGGCTAGGAGATGTTAACTACCTCGCCTGGTTACAGGAGGGCCGTGGGTTCGATCCGACCCCTTGGCACCTGCTGCTGCTGCTGTATATTTGGAGTTTGCGGTGTCTCTCTGCCGTGGTCAACGTGGAATTTTTTTTTCCTCCGGGTCCTCCGGTGTTTTTTCTCTCCACGTTGAGAATTAAAATCGCGCGTTTCAGAGTCTTTGGTTGCTGTAAATGTCCACGTAAATTCTGGCTCGGCGGTAGAGTGAGTTGAGCGGTTTACAATCGAGAGGCCTCCGAGTTCGACTCCTGGTTGGGGATTGATGCGGCCCATCGTGCGTCGATGGTCGAGTGACAACTTTGTGTGGAAGTCAACATAGGAATGTGGATGAATAGACTCACCCCCGTCATAAGCACGTGGAATGTCGACCACTGACTCAAGGCTGTACACAGGCGATGAGCGCCGTATCATGGCTTGTCAGAGCAGGACACCACTTATGCGTCACTCGATACAGGGTCACGTGATGCAGGGTCACTAGGTAAGGAAATACTTTGTTGAACAGAGGTAGTTCGTAAGAACTTGCGAACACGAGAGGCGATGTTGGGTGTGAGTGAGTTCAGAAGTGGATCGGTGAGAGGAAAGAGAATGGTTGTGACCTGCAGTGTGGTGGGTGAGTGGGTGAATGAGTGAGTGAGTGAATGAGCTGGAGAGTGAGTGAATGAGTGGGTGAGTGAGTGAATGAGTTTGTTGAGTGAGGGAGGGAATGGCTGAGTCAGGGGATGAACGAGTTGGTGTGTGAGTGAATGAGTGTCAGAGTCAGGGGGCAAATGCGCTGGTGAGTGAGTGGTTGAGTGAGCTGGTAAGTGAATGAGTTTGTTAATTGAGTGAGTGGCTGAATAAGGGGGCGAGTGGTTGAGTGAGAGGTGAGTGAGTTGGTGAGTCACTGAGTGGCTGAATGAGGGGGTGAATAAGCTGGTGAGTGCATACGTGGGTGAGGGAGTGAGTGGTTGAGTGAGTGATTGAACACAGTTGTGATGGGTGAGTTGAGTGGGTGAGTGAGCTGGTGAGTGAGTGGAGAATTGAGTGAGTGATGCTATTGCCTGCAGTGTGGTGGTGTTGGTGGTGGATGAGACGAAACGAGTTAGTGCTTTCCATGATAAACTGGACTTTCATGGTGAACTGCACTCCCATGGTAAAATGGACTCCCATGGTGAACTGGACTCCCATGGTGAACTGGACTCCTATGGTGAACTGGACTCCCATGGTAAACTGGACTCCCATGGTGAACTGGACTCCCATGGTGAACTGGACTCTCATGGTGAACTGGACTCCCATGGTGAACTGGACTCCCATGGTAAACTGGACTCCCATGGTAAACTGGACTCCCATGGTAAACTGGACTCCCATGGTAAACTGGACTCCCATGGTGAACTGGACTCCCATGGTGAACTGGACTCCCATGTTGAACTGGACTCCCATGTTGAACTGGACTCCCATGGTAAACTGGACTCCCATGGTGAACTGGACTCCCATGGTGAACTGGACTCTCATGGTGAACTGGACTCCCATGGTGAACTGGACTCCCATGGTGAACTGGACTCCCATGGTAAACTGCACTTCCGTGGTCAGGGGTCGGCAACCAAAACAACAAGGAGAGACTTTTATTTTGTAGAGCCGGAGCCGCATGCGGGCCCTTGGAGAGCCGCATGCAGCTCCTGAGACGCAGGTTGCCCTGCACTCCCGGGGCTATGTAGTCTTGACTACAGGAGGCCGAGCGTGGTGCTGACCACCCACCCCCCTCCCTGAGCCGTGCCGGCCTTCTTCAGGTGCTCGTGAACAGCACTTGCCCCAACAGTCTGTTAAGGCGAAACGGGCGCCACGGTGGCGAGATGTGAACTCCCTCACCCGGTGTACAGGAGCTCGCGGGTTCCGTCTCGACCCTGACGCCTGCTGCTGAATATTATTTGGAGTTTGTGGTGTCTCCCTCCCCCGTGGTCACGTGGATTTTTCTCCGGGTCCTCCGGTTTTTTCCCTCCAAATTTAGAATCAACATCACGCCTTTCGATGTATTTCGGCTGCTACAAATGTCCCCATGATGATCAGCCACTTCGTAGAGCTATCATTTGTTAGAGTCCAGGTCGCTTCTGAACAAAAAAAGAGCGACGTAGCTTCGTGGGGCCTTATCTGGTCAAATGAAATAACACATTCCTGGGTCTTTCGGTAAAGTCACGTAGATAGGTTTAAAGAAAATAACAAAAAACAACAGCCTATCTACGTGACTTTACCGAAAGGCCCAAGAATATGAATTCCTGCAGTCACGAAAGCTTTAAGTAAAAGATACATTTGTTCAGTGTAGTTTGTAGTTGATCTTTGCCTTCATATTTACTGCCGCGATGTCACGAGGAGCGCGGGGCTCCTCTGCTTGCACGTTACGGTGCTGTATAGCCACGCCGCGATGCAGTGAGTGGTGGGTGGGTGGGTGAATGAGTGAGTGGGTTTCCCGTAAACGCGGACAGATGGATCGCGCCCTTTACCGTCCGTGTGCACGGCGCGCACAAACTCGCGGGGAGCACTCGGATGGCAGCGTCGCGTGCAACACTCCCGAAGCAGCGCCAAGGTGTGTGCGTATTTGAATTGCATTGTATGAAGGCTTTAAAGATTTACTGCAGAGCCTTATACAATTGCAGATCTGCATTGTCGGTGCATGTATTCACGTTGAACTTCTTTAGACACGTAGGTAGCCAACCGGGGGAAAGGACAACACGAAAAAAACGGCTGTAAAGAAATGAGCAAAGGCATCGATCAGCCCCCCCCCCCCCCCCCCCCTTGTACAATATTTGTACCAGATGGGAATTCCTCTGGTACAGCCATGGAAAGCTTCTCAAACTACGTGGTCGAAAAACTACATTAAATAATGTAGGAGCCAGAGGGCATCCCTGTCGCGCCGCAAAGTGAACAGAAAGTGTCTCTCTGTCTCCCGGCCACGCAGCTTTACCCGAGCCAGGTCCAACATCATGAAGGTCCTTCATGATTGTGAGCATGTACGTACGTGTCACGAAAGCTGTCTCTGGTGTGGACCAATCAGTTTCAAAGACAATGCATATACTATCTGAGTATTTTTTTTGTTTGCATTGTGACCACAAGTATTGTGGTTAATGCACACATGACTCCTTGTAAAGGTTTCAGTTTGGTGTTTTAACATCTTATCACCTGTTTTGTTGCCAGAAAAAAGGGGAAACCCCTATTCTCATACGTATGTTTAACTTCTTTCGCACCGTACGCCTGCCACCCGTGCTAATAGGAGGTGCGTGGGAATGCCAACGAATTAAACATAGTAGGAAGAGCGAACGTAAATGAATGGGTCACCCGTAGTGTAAAGTCTAAGCGTACCTCCTCCATATACGACAAATTATATTGCTGCTGCTTGCTACCAGTGGTGTACAATTGGCAAATAATTAAACAAAAAGATAACACGACACACTCGTCAACGTGGCCTCAAGAGAACAACAATATACGCTTTGTAAATGTTGACGTTTCGGGCTATGACCCTTCTTCGTGGAACCCGTACGAGGCTTGCAGCAGGTTACATCCGCGATGCCCCTTTGGCTGGTGAGGGTGAGAGGCCACGTGTCCTCGACTCTTTAGAGTCCGGCGGTCTATGAGCGGACAACGTGGCCACGCGGCGCACTTTCATTATGTTTTCTTGAGATGGCGGTGCTGACCAGGCTGAGAGGTTCACCCACAGCGGAACGCCGCCACGCGCACGCGACACGACGGAGAAGGCGCGCGCCTGTGCGCGCGCGCGCGTGCGTGCATAGGGAGCGATAAAGAGAAGGTGATTGCTATTGTTTGGCTGGAACTGGTGGGTGATCGGGAAGGCGTGGATACCTGTGGAGGGTTGATTGGGTGCTGATCTAGGGGCAGGTCACGGGTTTGTTCTAAGGGAGTGCGGGGGACGGGGAGATGATTGGAGGGATAATTCTAATTATAGATAATTATCTATTATAGATAATTATCTATTGGGAGTAGGGGGAGGCGTGCTACCAGCATGTGGAGGGGTTTGGATTCGGAGGGAAGAGGGTGAGTAGCGGTTTTACGTAACAAGCAGTTTAATTGTAGATTTTAAAAAAAGGATAGGTGCCGCGATTAATCTTTGTGTGTGTGTGTTTTTTAAAGGACATTGGGTTAATTGTTCACACACGTACACGCACCTACTCTCACTTAGGTAGTCAGCCGGTTGTATTTCGTGGTTTTGTTAGTGGCGGCTAGCACTGCAAGAAAGAGCTATCAACCAAGTAGGACGTTGTGTTGTCACTTCGGCGTGCGCGCGTGCTGTTGAATCTGCGTTGTTTGGCGGCCTGCTGCTCGCCTTTCTGTCGAGATGGGATGTCTCGACGTTCACTGGCGTCACGGTTATGATTACCGTGGCCACACACACAACCCTGACCCTGGATGGTGTTTCGGCTTTCGGGTCGATTCCGGTTCATTAGGAGGAGGTAGAACTCTTAAGGGACCAGGATAAATTCTCTGCTATACTATCTATTTTTTTTTTAATCAGGATAGTCCCACTGAGCTATATGACTCTTTTGTCAGAAGCGACCTGCCTTTCCCAAACGATAGCTCAACGAAGTGGCTTATCACGTGGCAATTTATAGCAGCCAGATACTCTAAATGTGCGTTGCATCTACGTGTGCAGGGGAAAACCTGGAGGGCCCGGAGCAAAATCCACGCGAGTACGAGGACAGAGACACGCAAACTCAAAATATACAGCAGCAGGCGTCAGTGTCGAGATCGAACCCACGACCTTATGTATACAAGGCGAGGTTATTAACATCTCTCAGCTACCCTGGCGCTC